CTTCAGAGAGAGAATATCTTCCTCCAGTGACATAGTTTGGTACCAAAGTAGGCATGGATGGGGACATTCTGGGTGTTGCATCCACTTGGAAGTCACTTTCAGCACCACCTCTGTCGGATTTCAGTGCTTTAACAATGATTAATTAGGGGCAGGAGACGTGCACTCCTTTGATCACCTGAAATCAAGGGAATGGCATTTTAAAAAGAGAAAGATAGGGCTTCCCTGGTGGCGCAGTGGTTGAGAATCCGCCTGCCGATGCAGGGGATGTGGGTTCGTGCCCCGGTCCGGGAAGATCCCACATGCCACAGAGCGGCTGGGCCCATGAGCCATGGCCGCTGAGCCTGTGCGTCCGGAGCCTGTGCTCCACAACGGGAGAGGCCACAACAGTGAGAGACCCGCGTACCGCCAAAAAAAAAAAAAAGAGAAAGATAAGGGGGTTATCCACGAATTGTGCCTTTCTCCACCAGAAAAATTCCTTCCTATACAAGAGAAAAATAGCTGGCGTCTGGTGAGCAGAAACACGACCTGGGTGGCACTTTGCAAAGCTCTCTCGGCAACCACTTGACATGTGTGCCTGGAGCACTGGGGTATTCACCCGAGTAGAAAGGCCTTGGGGCTTGGAGTCAGGCTCTGAGTTCTAAGTACTGTTTCTGTCTCTGCTATGCGCCTGTGAGCTTTTGCTGTCTCAAATCACATCTCTGAGCCTCATCTCGTCCTTCTACTAAATGGGGAAAACAGTGGTTGTCATGAGGTGCAAGAGAGATCATGGAGCGTCCCTCACCGAGGCAGTGCGTGAATTAGGGGGCAGTGGTCCAGCTGGACGGCCACCCTGGAACTCAGCCCAACACTGTGGAAATGGTGACGCGGCTGGTGGCCCCCATCGGAGCACCCCACGCTGGGCGCCACACAATGTCCCGTGATGTCTGCATTCCTGTTGTGCCCACTGAGATCTGCCCAGGAAATGACGTGTCTGCCCGTGCTTCAGCCTGGAGGCCTTTATTTTTGTCCACAACATAATGGGGAGTTTAATTTAGCTCTGATGAGTTGCCAGAGGTCACTGTGGCTCCCAGTTGATGGATGGAGCTCTGAGTGCCCCACCTCTCATTCTTCCCGTCTTCCTGCACTGTTGTTGGGTTTCCAGCAGGACAGAGCAGCCACGTGGCGTCTTCTTGTCCAGGGGAGTACTGATGCCCCAGCGGAGACAAGACTTCCGGGCAGGCGGGGGCCCTCCCAGGGGAGGGGGCTGTGATGGCCTTGCCTTTCTTTCCACGCTTGACATTTTCACTCTTGTGCACTGGCTTAAAGGAGCACCAGGAAAGAGGAAGACCCGCCCTCCTCGGTCCAAGGCACTGACCGAACATTTATTACATGCCAGGCTCAGGGCTGAGAGCTGTATACACATTGTCTCGTTAGGTGGGCCCTAATACCACCCGCTCTCTTTCCCAGCTGGAGGAGTTGAGTGCTGGGAGGATGAGTGTCTGGCACAGTGCCATGTGTTACTTGGCTCAGACGGCAGCATATCAGAGCCCGGGTTCCTAAACACAATGCCCAGGGATTCTGAGTGCAGTCACCCCCATCCCCACCCTGGCTACAGTCCAACCCTGCCCCTCACCTTTAATTCTTTTAACTGCGCTAACAGACACTGCATGGACCCTGCCCCAGACAGGTTCAAATTCCAGCCGCCACCTTCCGGATCCCCCTCAGAGCCACCCCGCACAGGTGGGTGTCAGGTCAGGGTGGGCAAAATACGCCTCATGGACCAAAGCTGACCCACCGCCTGTTTTGTACTTTAATTGGAACCAGCCACACTTGTCTATAGCTACTTTCAGGGCACTACGGTCGAGGTGAGTAACCAAGACAGACTGTACAGCCCATAGTCTGAACTGTTTACCACCTGGCTATTTGTAGAAAATGTTTGCTGATCCCTGGGTCCCTGGTGGGCGGAGTAGCAGAGCATGCTAATAAACTTATTAGAAGCGAAACAATATTGAGAACCAAGGTTCGAAGAATAATTCCGGGGGAAATCTCATCCTGGGGATTTCAGGACACATTGGCAGGCGTTGCAGCTTTACATCACACTCGCATGCGTCCCAGGGCTCTCACCTGCTTCTTGGCAGAATCATTTGCTTACAAAGATAAGCAAGGTACTCTCTATATTCACAAACGTTCTTCTATTTCAGCTTCCTTTGGAAGTTTCCTGCAAGGAGACAGAACCTTAGAGACGCATATGTAGTGCTTATTATCAGAGGACAAGTGCACCCCTCATGGGGGAGGGGTGGTAGAGCAGGGTTGTTTATTTGTTTCAATGACACCGCCTCCTCCCTCACCGTTCTCGGCCATGAATGCCAGAATCTCAGGCTTCTTCACCGTCCAACGTCTTGTCTCTACTTCCAGATAACCTAAGCTGTTCCGGTTTTGAACAAGATCTACTTATTCTTCTGGCCTCTGCTTTTATTAAACTCTAAAGAACAGGACATAATATCTTTATTTTTTGTAGTGATAAAGAGCTATAGGTTTTATAGAGCTGCAGAAAGCAGGAGGATCTCAGAGATGAGGTCGATCAGCTGGAAGTTTGACCCAAGTGGCCTTCAGTGAGTTAATGCAGAGAGAATCCCCTTCCACTGACCGTTTATCAGCTCGCTCTTTAAAGTCAACTTCCTATGGTCAACTGCTCACTAGAAAGACACAGTTGAGGGATCCTTGTCCCCCAGCCTGGGGACTTCACGGAACAGGTTTGACAGGTGGCCCACTGGGCTGGAACTGGAGCAAGGAGCCTCTGGCCTGCTCTAACTCCAGCGCTGTGCACCCTAGGAGTACTGGGGTAACCTCTCTGAGGCTCAGACTCCTCGTGTCAAGTGGAGCTAGACGCCCTGCCTTCCACACCTCTAGGTGGGATGGTGGGGTGAGGCATCAGGTGTGGGAGGTGCTTCGTGAGTAGTCCTGAGTTTCCAGGAGCCAGTTCTAGTATTATGCTTTCCTACTTGGAGTCTCAGTCCCTATGTATAGATGTCACAGCCTGACAGATCAAGATGAGGTTTTAAAAACAGTTATATAATCAGTGCTTCTTCCATAGGGTTTGCCTTGTAAAAAGTACTTGGAAAAGAACAGCAGCTTTGGAGAGAGAAGAACCTTGGTTTGAATCCACTTCTATCACTCACTGGCTGGGCGATCTTGGGCGAGTCACATTGGTAGAATGTGGTTGTGCTGGTGTGTCAGTTTGGGTCATCCAAGAAGCAGACACCAAGATGGCCTGAGACATGCCAGACATCCCTTGGAGACCTGTGAAGGGAAAGGGAGAGAAGGGGCAGGCGTAGGCAGAGACCGTCTTTGGACCACAGTGTAGGTCAGACACCTGTGAGAGGAGAGAGGGCAGCAGGGGAGCCTGAGACCCTGGTGTGGCTCCAAGAAAGTCTTGTGTGGGTCTGTGGAGAGTCTCAGAGTAAAGACTGCCTGATGGAGGAAGCTGCATGACCTACTGTCCCACATCCCAGTGCCTTAAAACAACAACCACTTTAATATATTTCATGATTTTGTGGGTCAGAAATTTCAACAGGGCTCAGGTGGGTGCTCCATGTGTAACTGATTAGGGTCTGTGTTGGTTCAAGCTTCTGTAACAAAAATACTGTAGACTGGGTTGGCTTAAACAACAAGCATTTATTTCTAACAGTTCTGGAGGCTGGGAAGTCCAAGGTCGAGGCATCAGCAGACCCGGCATCTGGTGAGGGCCCGCCTCTGGCTTGTAGACAGCCGCCTTCTCACTGGGTGCTCACATAGTAGAGAGAGTGAGAGAGCCCTAGCCTCTTTCTCTTCTTATAAGGACCTTGATCCCATCATGGGCTCCATCCGTAAGACCTCATTTAAACCTAATCCCCTCCCAAGGGCTTCCCTGGTGGTGCAGGGGTTAAGAATCCACCTGCCATTGCAGGGGACACGGGTTCGAGCCCTGATCTGGGAAGATCCCATATGCCGCAGAGCAACTAAGCCCGTGCACCACAACCACTGAGCCTGCGCTCTAGAGCCCGCGAGCCACAACCACTGAGCCTGTGTGCCACAACTACTGAAGCCCACGCACCTAGAGCCTGTGCTCCGCAACAAGAGGAGCTGCCGCAATGAGAAGCCTGCGCACCGCAACAAAGAGTAGCCCCTGCTCGCCACAACTAGAGAAAGCCCAAGTGCAGCAATGAAGACCCAGCACAGCCAGAAACAAACAAATAAATAAATAAATATATTTTTTTAATGTGTTAAAGAAAAAAAACCCCAAAACCCAGCTCTACTGGGGCTGTGGGTTTCAACACATGAATTTGGGGGATGCAGACATGCAGTCCATGAAAGGGTCCCTCAGTGTGTTGGGCAGGCAGCCGCTCTGGACCGGAGGCTTTGCTCGCATTCCTGGTGGCTTGGCGGGGTGGCTGGAAGGCCAGGCTCCACTGGGCCCCTCCCCACGTAGTCTCAGGGCATTTGCTCGTGGCCTCTCCAGTGGGATGGCCTAATGTCTTACCTGACAGCTCAGGCATCAAGAGGGACGGCTTCAGGAGGCCAGAAGTAGGAGCTGCAGTCTCTTCTTTGCTTGCTGCGTTCCCTTGGTGAAGCGGTCACAAGCCTGCCCAGGTTCAAGGGGAGGAAACGGAGACCTGTCTGTTGATGAGAGGAGCAGCAGTGTGCCCATCTGTTATTCGGTGCCTGTCTCCTAGGGCTGGGGAATATGATACTGTTTCTACCGCACCTGTCCCGCTGACTAGCACAGAGTAGGTGCCCAGCAGATAGGGGCTGCCCTTCCGAATGTTTGTGTCATCATTATTCTTACCGCTGCTACTGTCATACCCCCAACCCCATTGCTGGCCGCCCTACAAATATGTTGTGTGTCGTGAGGGGACCGGAGTGAGACTGACTGAAACCGTGAGCCTCTTTACGATGCACCTGCCCTCACCCGTCAGGTAGCTGACAGGAGTCGCCTTCGACCCCCTCCTCCCCGAGGCTTGGCACTGCCCGTTCTTCCCCAGGTGTGATGGACCTCAGCTTCGAGGCCGAGAGTCCTCTGGCGCCCCCGGCTGAACTCCTGGAGAGGCTGCCCAGCTGTGACTGCCTTCTTCAAGGGGACAGTGAGCCTGTGTCCCTGGGGGCTTGGGTCCTGCAGCTTCTTCCTGGGGCTTATGCTGTTGTGCGGGCATCTCTGGAACAGGCCGGGCTGGGAGAGCTCCCCTGTCCCCTGGGGGCCCTGGGAAGCCCCTTGTCGCCATTGGGAGGGAATGGGAGGATGGGGCATAGGCCCTGTGTCCATGGACATTCTGTGACCATGTCCATCTCCACTTACGACCAGGATGCTGCCGGTCTTGGAACCCAGGATGCCAGATATTCTTCCCACCTTCGGAGGCCCCGGGGAGGCCCCAGGAACAAAGGTGCTGGTCTTCGTTTCTGGAACACAGGTGAGCCCTGGCAGCTCCCACGGAGCCATTGTGCGGGATCACGCGAGATGATCCTCAGGTCACCTTTGTCCCCCGACAGCCCTCCTCGGGGATCTCAGGGGCCACAGATTTCAACCCAGACAGTGCATCAGGACTCCAGACCCAGTGGATCAGAGTCTCCAGGGATGGAGCCTGGGAGTGTGTATTTTTCCAAGCTCTTCAGGTTGTTTGGCTACCAAGCCAGGGTTGAAAACTCTAGTCTAGATCAGGGGTTGCAAACTACGGCCCCCAGGCCAGATCCAGCTCACTGCCTCTTTTTGTCTATCAGGTTTTATTGGCACACGGCCATGTGTTTTTGTTTCCTTACTGTCTGTGGCTGCTTTTACACCGTGACAGAGGAGCTCAGTGGTGACACAGAGGCCACGTGGCCCACAAAGCCTAAAGTATTTCCTGTCTTGCCCTTTACCGAAAGTCTGCTTGATTGGAGGACTCGGGGCACAGCTCCGGCTGTCCGGCCAGCTTTGTGCGGACAGGAGGAGGAGCCGTGCCCATGCTGGGTCCAGGGTAGCCGTGTCCTGCCGTCGAGGGTGCCTTCCTGGTGCCTCTGGCCCCGCTGCTGCCTGGACCACCTCCCTTCTCCTCCCTGGCTGCCCTCCCTGCGTGCCTGCAGGCGCCCCTTCTTCTGTGGAGTCGTCCCGGCCACTGTTGCGCCCACGCCCTCCATCTGCTGTGCACTGTCTGTGGGCACACGGGCCCCTCTGTGCGCTGGGCCGGGGGTGTCGGCCACACAGCGTGTGTTGGTGAGGGCTTACATTTGGAGGCAGGCTGCCGTGGAGAAGAATGTGAAGATGGGGGGCAGGGCGGAGGAAGGGGCCTCAGCTCATGGCGGTGGCGGGAGGGCTTTGCCGAGGAGGGACAGGGCAGTTGGGCCTCAGGGGAGTCTTCCAGGAGGAGGAGAGGTGTCCCGAGAGGGGGCCGAGAAAGGGTCCTTCCTAGTTTGCCCTCCCAGCCTGCACCACTGCTGTCCAGCGGGCTCATGGCGGGTCTCTGTGGGTGCCACTGTCAGAAGGTTCTCGGCTGCGGTCTTCCCCTGAGCGTTACTCACAACTCCTCTGGCTGAAGTCAAGGTCCCAGAGGGCAAGAACCTCGTCTAGTCCTAACTCTGTCTCCTCCTAGCTGTGTGACATCTTCTCTGGACCTCAGTTTTCCTTATCTGTAAAGTGGCATAATTCATCTTTCAGTTTTTTGTTTCTGTTTTTTCATTTGAGCTCTAAGACCCCATCAGCCCTTCTCCGCAGCTCCAGACCTCAGCTAAAGTGGTTTTGTTGTCCTCTAGAAGGACCTGCCACTTTCCCACTGGGCATCTGTTCACACAGTTCCTGATGCCGGAGATGCGCTCACCAGCTGGATGCCCGAGGGCTCTACCACTGCTGTGGACACGGCCGGGGGACCCCTGTCTCCGGGCCTTAGTTTCCATCAGCACAGTGAGGGGGCTGGCTGGCCTGGGTGAGCCCGCAGGCTCTCCCCAGACCCACTGCCCCTCTGCTCGGTCCCCACCAGAGTCCCCGTGGTGACAGAGGAGGTGGCCCGGGAAGCCCTCCTCAGCTTCGTGGACTCCAAGTGCTGCTACGGCAGTGCGGCCGCCGGTGACCTCGTCATCCTGGAGCTGAAGCAGCAGGTCCTGCGCAGGGTGAGGGCTGGCCGGAGGGCGCCTGGCGAGGCCGGGGAGAAAGGAGTCTTGGGGAACAGTGCGTGTGAATAGCGGTGACATTGTAGTGAGTTATAATGCAAGGAATCTTGGTTGTCAATCACCAGAGAACAGCTCGAATGCCCTAGGCGTCATGGATAGCGCATTACCTATATGTCTTACCGAATCCTCATAGCTACCCTTCATGGTAGGTATCATCGTCACCAGTTAGGAGGAATTGGACATTTAGAGAGGTGGAGTTACTTGCCCCCAAACATGCAGCTAGAAGTGACCGAGCTGGGATTCAAACACAGGTTTGCTGGCACCAACGCCCTGTTTTTAAAGACACAACTTACCTGCTTCTTGGAGGGGTGGGCTAGAAAGGGCTGTCTCCTCCCCTGATCCCAGCTCCCTCTGCCTCCCCCAAGTTTCATCTGTGCCAGGGGTATTTATTCATCACCCCCAAGCCTGAGGCTCCAGGGAGGTCCTGTGCTTGGTACCAAGACCACACAAGGTGACCCCACCTTTGTCACCTTCTGCCTTGACAGGGACAAGTTTAAGTTCACATTTCCTAGTGTCACTGGCATAGCTGTCCCCTGGAGGGCACACAGTCACAGAAATCAGCCTCACAGGGAGTGGTCAGAGCAGGGATTTGAGGTACGAGTTCTCTGTGTAGCTCTGTGACCTTGGGAAAGTCACCTGACCTCTCTGAGCATCCCTTTCCTCACGTGGAAAAGGAGGAGCCGGGCGTTGTCCGAGATCCTGTGGATGAGGATCAAGAAGGAGGATCTCGACCTCAGGCAGATACATTCCCCCAGGGGTGCTCGGAGTGGCTGATTCCAGCAGCCTCCATCTGTCAGAGGGCAATTTTTGCTTCAAAACTTGCCTCATAGGGCTTCCCTGGTGGCGCAGTGGTTGAGAGTCCGCCTGCCGATGCAGGGGACACGGGTTCGTGCCCCGGTCCGGGAAGATCCCATATGCCACAGAGCGGCTGGGCCCGTGAGCCATGGCCGCTGAGCCTGTGCGTCCGGAGCCTGTGCTCCGCAACGGGAGAGACCACAACAGTGAGAGGCCTGTGTACCGCAAAAAGAAAAACTTGCCTCATAGACCATTTCTGTGTATAAAGAAATTATACACGTTATACTGAAGGTGCCCTGTGGTGTGTCTGTCAGGGGAGATTTCCTGGGGTTAAATGACCCCCTGCAGATATGTCCCAGGGCATCTGCGACACGAGTCCTCGCTGCTGCCAGCCTGTTCTGAGCAGCCCTCGGGCGCTGGCCGTGCTTGGGAACTTCTGTTCTCCCTGCTGAGCCCAGGGGTGGGGAGCTTCATCCTTTCTCATGAGGCTCTGTCTTCCTAAGGGCACGAGTGTGAACACACTATTTTTCCTTTGTAGTATCGACTAGAAACCTTCAGTGAATCCAGGATAAGTGAATGGACTTTTCAGCCCTTTACCAGTAAGTGAGTTGTCTGAAATCAGTTTAATTCGGAGTGAATATGGCAGGGATTGGTGGAGAATGTCAGGACTTGGCTTAGCCACCAACCCCGAGGAAGATGATCTGCTGCTCGGAGCCTCAGTTTCCCATCCCCCATAAAAAGAGAGGGTGGCCTTTCCTCCTGGAGACCTTCCAGGGCTGACGTTAGCAGACGCTTCCTGTCCAGGAAGTGGCTTGCAGGAGGTCCTGCAAAAGTCTAGTGTTTGCGTTTGGCCACAGGCTGGTGCTGCCACACGGGGCCAGACTGCAAAGGCAGCCACTGTGCTCGGGCGTCTACCTGCCTCCTGGGCCACCCCCAGCACCTCCCCGAGTCTCTAGATCCCCACCCCGTTCAGTGTGCCGTGCCGCCTCTGCTGGACCCCCTAGAGGCTTAAGGCTCTCTTTGTGGGAAGCTCTGTGCCCTACCTGTTTTCTGGTTCATCCTTCGAGACTTAGCTCAAGGGTCCCCTCTTTTATGAAGCCTTTGAGGATTTCTTCCCTGCTGTCCCCTCCCCAGCAGAATGAGTCAGTCTTCTGAGTTTTTCAGAACGCCTTATGCAGCTCTTGTCCAAAGCACTTACCATGTCATATTCTGTTGTATTGTGATGTAGTCTCTCTCCTTGAACGGAGGAGGAGAAAGAAGATGGTGGGGATGGTGACAGTAGTGATGACAATCCTGGTTTATTGATCCCTCGGCATGTACCAGCCCTGGGCTAAGCTTTGGTATGCCTTCTGCTGTTCAGTTTTACTACCGTTCTCCATGGTAGGTGCCACCGTTATCCCTGGTTAGAGAGGAGAGGATTGCAGGGCAGAGAGGTATATATAGGTGGAGGAGCTGGTGTCGAGTTCCGCAGCCAGGAAGTACAAGAAGCAGGAGTCAGCCGGGTCTGTTCAACTCCGACGCTTGGCTGCTTAACAACAGGCTCTAAGGGGACCCTTACCTACCAGTCCCTCGGCCCCAGGTTCTAGCTTAACGCCTGGCACCAGGTGGAGGCTCCGTACTATGTGGTGAATAAATGAAGGCTGGTCCTTGCAGCTGTTTGCTGCTCTTTGAACAGCCCCTTTCTCTGTCAGACCACTCCGTGGATGGGCCACAAAGAGGCACCTCCCCTAGGCTTTGGGACATCAAGGTCCAGGTTCCCCCGATGTTTCAGGAAGATACCAGGAAGTTCCAAGTCCCTCACTCATCGTTGGTCAAGGTAATGTGTTCATTGGAGTCTCTGCCCTTCTCTCGGAGCTGGTTTTCCGGGCACCGTAGTTTCTTCAAACTTTATCCTTTTAAAAAGGAAACCCCAAATCCAGGCTGGTGGTTTATTCCTTGCCCATCAAATAAGCAGAATTCTAAGAAAACCCAGCGTATGGGATGTAGTCCCATATGAAATTCCGTGCAAATTAGGGAGCGTTCACATAGCAACAGGATGGTACGAAATTGTCACCAGATTTAAATAGCGAGCATTCACATTCCTAGACCATCTGAGGGTTTTTGTCTTTTTAATTTTTTTGACCTGTTGGGAAACAGCTGAATGAAACATATAAAATAAAATTAAAGCATCACTGGGATTTTTTTTTTATGGAAGTCATTAGGGGAGTAGAATTTGACATCCATGCTGTTTTTCAGAAATATAATCAGGACAGGTAGTGAGGGTAACCTAATGTGTTACAAAACCACAGCTGCGATGTTTTATGTTATGTGCTCATCTAATTAACTGCCTTGTTTTCACTTTAGAACTTGATTCAAGTGTGTCATTTTACCCTCTGAGTTTTCATAGCATCATAAGACGAAGAGGACTTTGAGAGATCAAGAAAGTGTTTCATCCTGTTCTCCAGGGTGGAAAAGCTGTTTTGATTCAGCCATTGAATTCCAGTAGCTCGCTTGCTGCCTTTTGCAAAAACACCCTCTGTTTTTTTATGGCTTCTATTCCCAAAGACCACTTTAGCCACCTAACGGGCAAAGGGTACTGGCTTTTGTGGTTTAGCCTGGGAGTGTGAATTAGGGCGTGGGAGTCGGAGACCTGGTCTCCTCGTCTTAGCGTCCAGGACCGACTGGGCTGAGGCTCCGAGGAGATGGTAATGTGCCTTGGCTTGGTGTTCAAGGCCCTTTGGAAGCCTAGTCACAAATGGTCATCTTCCCACCATGGCCTGAACTGTTATACCTCGACGTGGGATGCTGACATCATGGGGGTGGGGTTGGTGAAACCAGGAGCTGCTGGTACTTGGAAAACCAGACCAAGGAGAGCGTTCACTCTCAGGAATGCCACAGATGCCACGGGCATGGGCGCTACAAGTGCAGCAGCTGCCACGGGGCCGGCACGGTGAGTCACGTGGCCGTTGGTGAGTACGTGATGTGGAGCAGGGCCATGTGGGGATGGAGGGCTGGGCTGGCAGCCTGGGGCTCCCTGCGCCAACAGTGGGCCCTCCGACAAGTCATCCTCCCTCTCTGGGCCTCCATCTTCCTATCTGTGAAACGGGAATGTTGGAGTGGGTGGTCTCTATTGACCTTATTTCACTTTGATGGTTTATGATTTTCATTCTTCTCTCCTTTTCTCCTCCACCTACAAACATTTACTGAGTACCTGCTGGGTGCAGGAGGACTGAGACCTGGGGTCCTTCTCACAGGGACCCTCTGTCCGAGGGGCAGACTGGCAAGTGACCAGCACTTGTAGTGCAGGGGCCAGTGCCGGCCGAGAAGTGAAGTTCAGGGCCTTTGAGGGACACAATACGCTCGGGCCTTGGATTAGCTTCCTGGGGCTGCCGTAATAAATGACCACAAACTGGGTGGCTTAAAGCAACAAATTTATTCCCCTAAGAGTTCTGGAGGCTGGATGTCCAATACCGAGGTGTTGGCAGGGTTAAGAGCCATCTCATGCCTTCCTCCTGGCTTCTGGCAGCGGCTGGCAGTCCTTGGCTTATAGCTGCCTCACCCCCATCTCTGCCTCCGTGTTGCTTCCTGGCTTCTCTGTGTGTGTCTCTGTCTCCTCACGGGCTTCCCATAGGGACATGAGTCATTGGATGTAGGGCCCACCCTTCTGCAGTATGACCTCACCTTTACTAATTACATCTGCAAAGATGAGTTCCAAATAAGGTCACATTGTGAGGTTCTGGAAGATGTAAATCCAGGCGGGGATGACCACGTATACTATTGAGCCCCGTGCGGGCCCCTCGGCACCAGCCAGGCCCTCCTTTGCAGGATCCTCTAGGCTACTAGCCTTCCCGGCAGTAAGTCCACGCCCCTCACGTGTTCTCAGCTCTCCCCACCTCCCCGTTTGTGCCTAACCCCTTGGACACACACTGACCACTTGCTGCAGTGAACCGGCCTCCTCTGTCCTCTCTCTGCCCACGCGCCCTTGCACCCACCTTCCGCCTGCTGCTTGCTCGTCCCTCTACCCGCTCCGCACCCACCGTGGGGCTCCGCGGCGGCTGCACCTGCTCTGTGTCCTCCGATGGCCTTTGCTGGTGGCCTTTGCTGCTCCCTCCCGCCCCTCCTCCTCCTACCCCCTTGTCCCTCAGGCTTTCCCTGGAATGTCTCCGGAGCGCACCCCAAGCCCGCTGTGAGGGCATAGCCTGGTCCATCTCTGGGGGCTTCTCCAGCACCAGAGAGGGCCAGCCTGCCCCTCTCCCCCAGCCCCGGCCGTGGCTGTTTGGTCAGGGGACGGTCCCAAGGGGCATGGGGTTGAGAGAAGAGCAGGAGAGGCTGAGGTCTCAGGAGAAACAGGGATGTGAGGATGCAGAGTCTCTGAAGCTACAACTGGAGGGGTCCAAAGATACACTGCAGTTTACAGACAAGGGGCGAGGCCCAGGGAGAGCAAGTAGGGAAGTGACAGCTTGGGGAAGGTCACAGGCTGGCTTGGAGCCAGGTCTCAGGTTGCCCTTTGCCTGCTCCCCGGGAGGTGGGTGAGGGCTGAGGCCACGTGTGTCCGCAGGTGCGGTGCCCCTCATGCAGCCGGGCCAAGCGCAGAGCCAGGCCCGCCCGGCGGTGTCAGATGTGCTCGGGGTCCGGCAGGCAGAGGTAAGACGGGGCTCCCCGGCCCCGAGCTGAGTGCTCTCACGGGCGTTCTTGCTTTTTACTGCCTGCCCTCAGGAAGGCAAGCGGGTGCACTGTCTTGTCACCCCTGCGTCCCCAGAGCTCTGTGCATTGTAGGTGCCCTGTCACCTCAGTGAGTGTTTCTCGAGACCAAGTGGAGCCCATCAAGCAATCTGTGGGTCGGGGGCGGGGGGAGGTACGAGGGTCTGCAGGGAGGAAGGGAGGCCGTGGGTTAAGAGAGGAGACCGCTTCGTGCTCACGTGGAGGGGAAGTGAATACAGAAGAGCACCCAAGGTGAGATTCTTATCTCTCTGAGGATCCGGGCCCGGGCAAACCCTTATTTATAACCCATTGCAGGGACTAAATGGAGGAAGAGTGAAGGAAGGTTGGTTGATTGACTAAACAAAGTGCCTGTTCACAGGGCTTTGCAAACAGTGGGTTGCTGCCTTTTGGGCTTGATGTCCTTTCATGTATTTATAAATCTTTAAAGGGAAACAAGAAACCATGAGGAGTGAAACTCTTCAAAGTTGTGTTGGGTTAATGATACCTGTGGCTCATCCAGGCCCAGGCCATCCTTCTAACACGCCAGATGGCAAAGCTTTGGTGGACCTGCCACCTGTGGTTGGTAAAGGAGCTCTTTGATTTGGAAAGAAACTTAGATTTCTTTCACTTACAAGTAAAAGAACTCCAGTTCAAACTGGCTTTAGCAAAAGAGTAAATTTATAGGCCCATGTAATGGAAAAGTCGAGGAATAGATTTCTGGGATGACTTCAGGTACAGCTGGATCCAGGTGCTTAAACAATGTCACCAGGAATCTGCCTCTGTCCCATGTTGGCTTCATCCTCAGGCAGGCTGTCTCCTGTGGTGGCAGAGGAGGCCACCAGCAGCTCCAAGCTTGGTGACCTCAGTGGAAAAGGATGGCCCTTTCCTGATAGTTCCAGCAAAAGTTGTGGGGTGGATCTCAGTGCACTCACCTGGGTCATGTGTCAATCTCTGTATCAGCCACTATGGCCAGAGAGATGGAATGCTCTGATTGGCCAGGCTGAGGTCCCAAGCTGGTCATAGAAGGGATGGGGGCAAGCCCACAAACCATGTCTCCAAAGGGAGATTGGGGCACTGCTACGAGGAGCGGGAGGTCTAGATGGTGGGCACGTGGAAGCAATCCATGCCCACCACAGTGCACCTCTATGAGGAAGGATGTGAGGCAGGGGCCTCCGGAGCCACTGGGACACCACGACCATCTTAGTGGTACTGATGGGGCCCCTCTCAGATGCAGCACATGCTCAGGGAGGGGGAACAAGACCTGTGCCACCTGCAAGGGCGAGAAGAAACTGCTGCACTTCCTCCAGCTGGTCATCGTGTGGTACGTGGCACCTCTCAATGCCGTGGCCTGGCGGGGTGGCCGGGGGGGACGTGGCCTGGATTGGTTTCTGCAGAGAAGCTCCACTTGGTTGGGGCTTTCACAGTGCAGGGACCTGCTGGGAGAGACGGAATCCCAGGGTCCTAAGGCCCCACATCAGGGAAGCTCCCACGCATTAAGGGTTTCTCCTATCGGGTACCTTGCTAGAACAGAACTGCCTGTACTTTACTAGTTTTCCATCTTACGCGTGAGAATGCTGAGGCCCAGAGAGGCTAAAGCACTTTCCCAAGGTCCCACCGGTAGCACGGCAAGCTGTCCAGCCCCTATCTGCCTGATTCCAAACCCAGGTTCTTAACCCGACCCCCGGGCTGTGTCTCTCATCCTCTTCACTTCCAGGAAGAACAGCCTGTTTGAGTTTGTGTCTGAGCACCAGCTGGACTGCCCTGGGGACCTGCTTGCTAAAGCCAGAGGAGAGACGCTCTTTAAGGATGAAAACACGATGGTAAGGAGGGCTTTGCTACCGCCCTAAAGGGAGCTGGGTCCCTCCTCCACCTGTGAGGCCGGGTCTTCTGGTTCTGCAGGCGATGCATTCATTCAGAAAGGCTGGGTGGGGACAGAGGCTGCTGGGACCCCATGGGGCAGTTTCTGTCTTGAACTTTACATATTCAACCCTCCTTTCTTCCCCTGTTCATTTTCTCTCCCTCTTTTCCTCCCTCCTTCCCTTGGACAAATCTTGAGACCCTCCTCCTATACCAGGCACCATTCTAGGCCATGGGGATACCATAAAACAGAATCTCTGCCCTCCGATCTCACAGTCGGTGAGGGACAGGGTAATAAGAGCATTTTCACCACACTGTCAGCCATTGAGAAATACACAAGGGAGGTAGAGAGACAGGAAGGGGCAGGGTGTCGGTCGTGGAGAGCAGTGCAGTGGGGGAGTGGATGGTGTGGCAGGGTGTCCAGCAGAGGAAGCAGCACGACAGAGGCCTCGAGGAGCGGCAGAGGGCAGGGGGCTGGAGGGCAGCGAGCTGGGCGGAGCAAGGAGCTAAGACATGACAGGTGCCAGCAGCCAGATCAGGGAGGGTCTTGTACACTAGCAGTTGGCAAATTCCGGCCCTTGGCCTGCTTTTATAAATAAAGTTTTATTGGAGCACAGCCCACTTGTTTATGTATTGTCTGTGGCTGCTATCGTGCTTCGAGGGCAGAGGTGAGTAGTCGAGACAGAGACCCTATGGCCTTCAAACGTGAGTATTTACTCTGGCCCTTTACAGAAAAGATCTGTGGTTCCCTGCTGTCGGCCTGGGAAGGGAATTTGGCCTTTATGGGACATCCTCAGACAGTTTTTTTTGGTTTTGCTTTCTTCCCTTTCTTCTTCCCACCCTTCCTTCCTTCTTTTTTTTTTAACAGTATGTAGCTGTTTCAGATTGGCTTATTAGTTTCAGGTGTATATCATGATTTGATATTTGTATATTACTGTGAAATCATCACCACAATAAATCCAGTTCACGTCCATCACCACACAGTTAAAATGGTTTTTCTTGTGATGAGACATTTTTATGAGCTACTCTCAGCAACTTTCAAATATCCAATCCAGTATTATCAACTGTAGTTACCATTCTGTACTTCACACTCCCAAGACTTATTTATCTCATAATTGGAAGTTTGTACCAATTGACCCCCTTTCACCCCTTTTGCCCACCCCTCCAATCCCCATCTCTGGAAACCATCAATCTGTTCTCTGTATCTAGGAGTTTGTGTTTAATTCCACATGTAAGTGAGATCATAGGGTGTGTATCTTTCTCTGACTTATCTCACTTAACATAATGCTCTCTTCCATCCATGTTGTTGAAAATGGCAGGAATTCCTTCTTTATGGCTTCATAATAGTCCTCAGCTTCCTTTCTTTGCCCCAATCACTAGGCTCTCTAAAGGCTCACTTCAGGCATCACCCCTCTAGGAAGCCCTGCGCCCAATCCTAGCCTGAGTTAGGCAGCAGGGAAGGCGCGCCGGGTGGGCGGGTAGTCTGTCTACGGCCCTCGTTTATTGGCTGGAGTTCCCGACGCTATAAGGTGGATGATCAATGGTCCGCTTGGGTTTAACAAGCCCCACCCATCCCGCTCGCCCCTGGCCCGGGCCCGTCCCTTTCTGGCCTCGTGCTCCCATCAGCCCTCCAAGGCTCCAGGTGCTGAGGCTCCGGGTCAGGTGGTCTGCGTCTCCCCCCAGGTGTACCCCATCGTGGACTTCCCCCTGCGGGAAATCTCTCTGGCCTCCCAGCGGGGTATCGCCGAGCACAGCGCTGCGCTGGCCTCCCGAGCCCGCGTCCTGCAGCAGGTGAGCTAAGGGGGGTGGGGTGGGGACCGGGGCTGGTGGAAGGTGAGGTGCCGGGTCTGCTGGGGCTCCAGGACACTGTCCCCGTGGACGTAAAGGAGGGAACGCGCCCCTCCCTTTGTGGGGAGGTTCCTTCTTGAGAGTGGCAGGGCAGAAGGGGGGGGAGGGGTGGAGCCCCACTCGGAGGAGCGCAGAGGTACTAGGCACTGACGTGGGGCCAGAGTGACCGGAGGTCAGAGAGCAGGGCTGGTCAGACATAAGGCCACGGGGAGAAGTTTGGACTGTTATATCCTGCGAGCGACAGGGAGCTTACAGGGTTTCACGCAGGAATGTGGCTCAGTGTCGTTTCGATTCTCACCCCCCCGGTATTCAGGGAAGGGGAGGGAAAGCTCGAGATATAGGGTGCAAGGCAGGTTTGGAACCCAGCGTCCGGCCCCCCGGGGCACTTCCCAAATCCCAGGCCCCCAAGGGCAGGGCTGACGGCCCGCGCTGCTGTGCGGCTGTTATCCTGATGGCCACTAGGTGGCGGTGGTGCCCGTCGCGTCCCCAGGAGCCGCGGTGGGCGGGGCGTGTGCGGCAGGCGACGGGGGTAAAGGAAACGGGGATGGAAGATGGGGCGGGGGGTTGGCAAGGGAAAGCCCAGCGCCTGAGCTCCGTGAGGGCTCTGTCGGGGGTCCGAGTCTTACAAACTGGGCGCAGATCCTGGCTCTTCCACGTCCCAGAGTGGTCCCGGGCCAGCTACAAACGCCTTCCTGAAGTTCAGTTTCTCACCCGTGAAAAAGAGATATTACTACCGCCTCAGAGGGCTTGGTAGGGATGAGATCATTTGCTTTAAGTGCGTGGAACCCGGTGCTCAAAATGTCCCTGTGCCTTCCGTTCCCTTTGCAATGAGTATTCCGCTTCTCGTCCTGCACGATTACCCTGTTTGCAGGAGAGAAAAGGATGCATTTAATTTAAAATTAATAATGACCGTCTTGGAGCTGGAATGCACCTCAGAGAGGATGAAATGGGGGCACTGCAAACTGAAAGGCCTGGGTGGGGGGTGCTGTGGGTAGGAGACCCCCTTATCCAAAGGGCCCCACCTCCCCTCAGCTCTGTGCAGTGCAGGGGCAGAGATTTCAGACCTTCTGAAATACACATTTTTACATGAAATCTTCCAGTTTTTCAATATTGAAAGCAAAATTTAAAAAATGCTAAGAGCACTGTATGGGCTGCTGGGCCAGCTTTGGCCTGTGGGCATCCTCGGCTACCCCTGGTCTAGTCCAAACCCATGACTTTGCCGATAAATCAGAGGAAGCCCAGACAGTGGAAGTAATTTAGGCAAGGTCACACAGCTTTTCAGTGGAAGAGCCCGGGAGTAGAACTCAGATTTCCCAACTCCAAGGGAAATGTTATTATCTGCCGCACTCAAGGCACACAAGCGACTCTGAAAGCCAGCGTAGGTTTGCAGGGCTATCAGCCGGACGAGGTAGCGCCCTTTTCGCCTGGCAGACACTGCAGGGGCGAGTCACTTCCCAGGTTATGTCCTGCTTCCCAGCTCTGGCACATAGTCATGGCTCCTGGCCCTTCCATTCACGGGCCTTGATGTCCTCATCTGTAAAATGGGCGCGGTTGGACCTTACCTTAGGTTGGGCTCCGCAGAAGCAGCTCTGAGACGAGGATCCGTGTGCAAGTCATTTTTGTTTGTTTTATTTTTTATCAATTTATTTTATTTTTGGCTGCTTTGGGTCTTTGCGGTGCGCGGGCTTCTCATTGCGGTGGCTTCTCGTTGTGGAGCATGGGCTCTAGGTATGCAGGCTTCAGTAGTTGTGGCATATGGGCTCAGTAGTTGTGGCTCATGAGCTCTAGAGCACAGGCTCAGAGCTTAGTTGCTCCACGGTGAGTGGGATCTTCCTGGACCAGCGCTCGAACCTGTGTCCCCTGCATTGGCAGGCGGCTTCCTAACCACTGTGCCACCAGGGAAGCCCAAGACATTTGTTAAGGAAGGGCTCCCAGGGGAAACAGGTAAAGGGGTGGGGGAGCCGGAACAGGAAGAGGGTCAGACAAGGGGGCGGTGAGGGTAGTGGCGCTCTGAGTGTCAGCCATACCTCAGCGGCTGTTTGCCTGGAGCTGACATTTGTTCTTCAGCCCCATCCACGGAGGACCCCAGCCCAGTCTCTAAGGGGCCTTGCTCCTGCAGCCCTGGTACAGTCTGGTGGGCATTACAGTGAAGACCGCCCAGTAGTGAGCTGTGTACTGTAGGACTACTGTAGGACTGGCCGGAGGACAAGGCATGATTGCAGCAGCTTCCGGACACAGGTGCTTCTCCTGGGACGTTTCTGCTGCTGAGGCTGATAATTTTGAGTCCTTTTTGGACCCTTCATTTGGCGGAGGGGCAGTGACTGCCCAAGATCACACTGCGTGTTGGCGGCAGGCCTGCGTCTAGACCCTGGGGCTCCTGGGCTTTCCCTGATGGCACAGCCCCGTTTCAGGTGACACAAGCCATCTGTGGACCAGACCTGGAGCAGGGAGGGGTGCACCAGGGGCAGACGTGCATGTTTCTTTAAAAGGGAGCGTAAAGGGAGAAGAGGCCACTTCTGTGACTCTTTGTCCTAAATTGTCCTTGGGCCCAGGATCTACAGACAAAGGTTCATGCTGATATTTTGTTCAGGGTTGGGAAGTTAGCGAGTAGAATCCAGTGAGGGGCCAGCTGTCACACGCGGGGCCCCGGCCCCTCCTCTCAGACCTGGAATCTGCTCATCCCAGGGGCACAGTCAAGGGGCACCAGCAGATATACGTCCGATTACGAGATGACCGCTGGATGGCCGTTGATGTCCTGGCCAACCTGTGGTCTCCAACCTGGAGACCTTTAGAATCCAAATGGAGGCACGTGGGGTGGGGCTGCTGTGGTTTTGCTCTGTGTCGGGTAGTAGAAGAGTTTGGAAACAAGAGTGGTCTGACCTGCGGCCCAGGCTTTCTGAGCAGAGGTTGGCTCCCCTCCCCTCTTGCCCCGTGGTTCCCATGTTGGGTCTCCTGTACCAACATAGCAAGAGGGATCGTCTACCTTTTCTTTCTGTAGTTATCCCCCTTGGAGGCCACTCTCCGGCACACGGAGAAAACTCAGTCTCACCGTCTCATTTGGTTTTCTCAACAACTCCATGATATAGAAGTTTTTGTACCCATTTCACAGATGAGGAAACGGAGGCCCAGAGAGAGGAAGTGGGAGGTCACGCAGACGGCTTCATGGGAGGTGCACGCCCTGACGCTGAGTCCCCCGCCTCCTGCTACAGTGTCACTCCCTCTGCCACCCCTCCAACCCGCACCTCCCAGCGTAGGGAGCCCTCTGCTCAACATCCTCTCCCGGCCTGTTCCCCACTTTCCCCAGGGGCCTCAGGACCATCATCTCCCACGAGAGGACTTGGGCTCTTTTCCCAAGGAGGGGATCTTCCTGTAAGTAGGAGGCTCTGACCCTGGGCCAAGCACACCACCTCCCTCTGGGGTTGGGGTCCCCACATCCGAGTCTGGGACAGGGGAGCAGCTTGTGCACAAGGACTTAGGGTTTGGGCACCGAGCCTGGCCCACGGTGCGTCCCGAGAAAGCTTTGCTGGGGCTGAGGAGTCACTTTGTTCTGTGGGTTACACCCGTAGTTTTCCGTAACAAATCAGTGCCAAAGCCAATGACCTGGGTGTCTCAGCAGGAGTCAGTGTCAGCTCCGAGGCGGCATGGCATTCTGTTCACTGTCCCGTGATTTTGGAAGATTGTTGAGTAAGTGCTCAGAGAAGGGGCCAGAGAACGAGGGATTTAGGACCCCTCTGCAGGGGGGAGTGAGTGCCCCGGGCTCTCAAGTAGACAGGGATGCCAGGGAGGAGATTTGAGCCTGAAATAGGTCCAGCCAGGAGGTGGGGCTTGACCTGGATGATCTTGCAAGCTTGAAATTCCATGGGCCTCAGTTTCCCCATGTGTGAAAGGAGGGGAAAACTTGAGAAAGACTTTTCTCAAAGGAGGGTTGATGCAAAACTCTGATGCGGGGAGGGAAGCGTCTGAGAAAATAGCCTGAAGCAGCCCACCAAACTTTGGAATTTCTTTGGTGTCAACATTTTATCTTAAAATTTAATTCAAATTGCATAATACATTCCCTAATATCTCCATGGTTGTTTTAATAGAAACATTTTTAAAATGACTTTGTCCTCCACTTTTCTCCACTCCACTCTGTCCACCCTGCCATCTAAAAATTACCACTTCTGGAAGATGTCCTGTTCGGCTGGTGGATTGCCATACATCCTGCAACTCCCCTGGGGATTGCCTGTGGGCCACACACCCCCCCCCCCCCGCCCCTCCGCTTCATGAAACTGAGAATGAGGTGGTGGTTAAAGATGAGAAGTCGGTTTGGGCCAGAGCTTAGGGTATGTGAAGGAGTGTAGTAAGAGATACATCTAGGAGGCAGGTTGGAGCCAAAACGCCAAGTCCAGAGCCTGAACTTCATTTCACAGGTAGTAGGGAGCTACTGGAGGTTCTTGAGCAGGTGAGTGACTTGAACAGAACCCTGAGGTTTTTCTTGGCCAATTGTTTCCTCAGCGCCAGACCATTGAACTGGTCCCCCTCACGGAAGTTCGTTACTGGTACCAAGGAAAGACTTACGTCTACTACATCTACGGCACCGACCACAAAGTGTACGTGGTGGATTACCCCGAGAGGTACTGCTGTGGCTGCACCATCATCTGACATCGCACATCTGCCCCCAGAGCCCGCCACTCACGTTTGCCCAGGAGATTGGCCGAGGTCTCTGAGTTGACTCACTGTTGGCTCCTCTGGACAATTGCATGCAAACCCTGGTGTGTCCTTCCAGAGAATTCAGCTCCTCTGTCAAGCTGCAAGTCCTTCTGGAGCCCGTCTGGCGGAATCTATCACGTGTCTAACCTACAAGAATTCATCTACACACATTGCTTTAGGAGAAATAACTTAAGCAGCGGGGGCTTTGCCTCTGGCCTGTGAACTAAAGCCCTGATTGAGCGTGGGGTTGATTTTACTTTTCCCTCGGTCAGTCTCAGTTCTGGTGTGTCTCTGCTAGTCTGGGCCTTTTGTGGAGCTGAGTGATTCTGAAATGTTGAAAGATAGACAGAAATTAGCTGCCTCTTATGCACACCAAATAGTGCACTGAGGCAAAAATGTACACCATTTTACTCCTCATTCTGTGGGTCAGGAATTCAGACATAGCCATGGTGGGATGGCTTATCTCTGTTCCATGATGTCTGGTGCCTCACCTGGAAGTATCAGAGGCTGGGGTGGCTCAAGGGCAGGGGCGCTGAAATCATCTGAAGGCTGGTTCACCCAGATACCTGGTGGTCGATGGCGGCTTTCGGCTGGAACACCTACATGTGGCCTCCCCATGCGGCGTGGGCTTCCTCACAGCATGGCGGCTCTCAGGGTAAGCACCCCACATGTGTGCCCCAATTAAAGAGACAGAGATCTGTTCCCAGACTGGAGAACAAACCCGCTGTGTTGGATAGACCAAGGGTCTGTATGCTAATCTCTAACATGGTGCCTGTGCATGGGTAAATTTTAGAGAGTGGTTTTGGATATATGCAGGTTCTTACATCACGTGCTGACCTTGGAACCTGAGCACCGAGTAGAAGGTGACCTGGATGTCCTGTGTACCCAGTCCCAGGCAGGAACTCCCACCTGGTGCAGTGAGGCTGGGTGGGTGGAGGGGACACCCTGCACACTGAATGCCCGGTTAGCTTTGGAGGGGTGGTTCGGGGGCTGCGTGAGCCACCGTGTACCTGATTGTGAGTAACCGGATGTCCCTGTCATCTTACAATGCCTGCCCCCACCCGGAAGGGGAGTGCTACACCCCAGGAGGGCCAGTCCGTACCCTCTTGATCCCCAAGCTCCTGCTGGCCTGCAGCCCTCGTCCCCCATAGGGTAGAAGCACGTGGACATAAGAGGCCTGGTTGGGGGAGGCTCAGATGGGGGAGGGGTGGTCTGAGGCCATTCCCCTGGGGCCTCGTACAAATGGAGGGGACGGTTTTTGGCTGTTGCCATCATTGGTGGACGGAGCCCAGGAAAGCGGGGCATCCCGCAGTGCTCGGGGACATCAGTGCAGTGCAGTGGCATTCCACGTGCTGCATGGCTGGCAGATGCCCCGCTGACACTCGTGGAGAAATTACTTCTGCAAGCTCTCGTCGGTTATTACTTAATGCAGTGCGGGTTTTTATTTGGTGTTCGCCTCTGTTCTTTGATTTTCTGGTGCGTCTTGTTTGAAACGGCTTCTGATCCTCTCCCTTCTCTCAAGTACAAACTTGGAACTCTGACGCCTTCATTGGGGTTCCACGGGCCGCTGTGCTTGAGCCTCACAGATTGAAATACATGTATTAAAACACTGCTTTCTTCTTATTTCTCCTTTATGTTTCCGTTTGGGCATTAAATTGCTTTTTTAAAATGGTCTGTAAGTGGGTTATGTCTAAATGTCATTTTAGGGTAAAAAGGGAGCCTCGCGTATGTTCGGGTTGAGGCCACGTGGCCCGTACACGCTGTTGGCATGTGAGCTGGACCCAGCAAGAAAATCTGGCTGGAATAAAGTGGGTCATTGGGACACTGTTCTAATTGAGCCTCAGTGAGCCACCAGCCATAGGGCCCCTTAGTTCTGGTGGTTCTGGCAAAATCCCAGATGGTTACTGGGTCCTCCGGCTCTTTGATAACTGTTGCGTGGTTTCCCCTGCAGTGTTGTCTGTTTTTATGACCTTTGCTGCAGCCAGGATCTGACTTAATTTGCTCTTTCTGCCTGTTATCCTAGGGCTGAGTTGGCTGTTGCTGGTAGGCCCAGACCCAGCTGAAGTCCCTGGAGGGCAGAGAACAGAATGCAAGGGCAGCTGTAACCCCCAAACAGGCCACTGCAGAAGGTGGCTCTGGTCCCGATTCAGTTTTGCTGTAGAAGGATGTGAGCCTCAAGCGGCTGGCTGTTTCTTTATGGCCCTGCCAAAGGAGAGCACCAGCTCTGTTCTTTACTAGTCACTGGCAGACGCTGGGCCTCTGCCTGGCGGCCGGAGCCACTCAGGCCTTGGTGAGGGTTTCCCACGGATCTGATGTCTCTGCCCTGAGACTACAGGATGGGAGGAGAGGCTGTCTGTAAGCAGAGGATAAGGAAAGAATCCATGTGAGTCAGGTGGCTTTACAAGATGAGGCTGCCTAAGAGGCAAGATGGCGGTAGTGGTTACAAGCATGTGTATGAATGTGCCTGTGTGTATATATGTGTGCATGCATTTGTACATGAGCATGTGCATATGTGTATATGTGTATGCGCATGGTGTGTATGTTGTGTGTGCGTGCGTGATGTGTGTGTACTTGTGTGTATTGCATGTCGCGTGTGCATGGGGTGTGTGTGTGTGTGTGTGTGTGTGTTTGCCAGGGGGAGAGAATCACTGCTTAGAAGGCAGGAGGGACTTCCTCCCCCACCTGGTTTTCCTCCCTTCTCTCCTGGTCCCTGTCATTCGCTCTAGTTCCCTATACCCTGGCCTTCAACACCTATCAGCTTGTTGTACCACAGCCAACTTCAATTTCTAGGTCATGTGCAACCCTTGATATGGAGCGTGATGAGAGAATTGTGTTTTCTCAGGACTGTGGCGTTACGTTTCTCAGCAGGAAAGACCCTTCTAGATTCAGTGGCTGGGACCTTCAGCTTGAATTCCAGTCTCCTTTTGCTGACATTTCATAGTCAGGGATTGTGGAAAGAGCATATACACTCTGGTTCAGATTCTGGCCCTGCCCGTTAATCAGCTGTGTGACACTGGGCAGTTCTCTTAACCTTGCTGAGCCTCAGTTACCTCATCTGTGAGATGGGATGATACCACTTGCTTTGCAGGGCGGGTTGAAGAGAGATCAGGCGGGCAGAGCTCAGCCTCAGTAGGTGCTCAGTACCTGGAAAGGCCATCTCTTCCCAGAAGCAAACTCCTTTTTGGCTACGGGCAGGGCCTGAGTGCTTGTCACAGCGCCTCTCCAGGTGACCCTTGAGCAGGGCCTGGTGCACCAGAGTGAGTGCGAGTGACCTCTATTCTGCCAGCTCCCCTTCTTCATCCTTCAGCACAGCTCACACGCACTACTTCCCTGCGTTGTTTTCAACCATGCCCTCGGGTCGGGCGGCATCCAGCGGCCCCTCCTCTGTGCTCATGTCTCGGGGCACATGCGCGTGCGCTGGTCCCTGATTTGCCTTGTCTCGGCCTCCGCTGGACCACTGGCCGGCCGGCGGCTGGGTTTTTGCTCGTCACTGCCTTACGTGAGAGTGGTGCGTGTCAGTGATGACCGCCAAGCATGACCCAAGGACTAGGAGGAGGTGCCACACGTTGATTTAACACAAAAAATACCGGATTTTAATTCCAGTCTGGCCTCTATCAGCTGTGTGGCCCTGGACAAGTCTGTTCAGGCTCCTCTGGGGCTTCAGTTTTCTTTCTGTACTTTGGAGAGTTGCATTTGATCCCAGTTTTCCTTTTAAAATTTCACCTTTTCTCCCGCGAATCTGTGGGACCCAGATTCATAAACCCGGCTCACAGATCAAGTGGGGCTGCTATGGTTGGTGAGGGGGGCCCAGCGGCCTCCCGGGCACCTGCCCCCTCCTTGTCTCCAACCTCCGGCGTCCGGGAGCCCACGGAACGCGGCCAGGCGAGCCTCTCACCCCTGTTCTGGGAGGTGGGTTGCATCTCTAACAGACCACAGGTCAATCCTGAGAAATTTCTCTGTCTTTTTTTTTTTTTCCTTCCAAGAATTAAACCTTTGACCTGTGCTTATTTTCTGATTGTATATTCCTCAGAGTGAAACATGCATAGAGGAAAGCACCATAGAATGTTCTGTCTAGCGGTACTCTAAGCAGTTGATAATTTTCCTGTACTTTGGAGCAGAATGGCCCTGGGGCGTTCAGATTTGGGGTCCCCTCCCTCTAGCCTGGTCCCCAAGCTGTAGGAGCGTGTTGCTACTTGTCTTTATGTCTTCAAGTCTGGGGCATGTCTTTGCTTTTTCCCCATCAGCTGATGGAATTGGGATTTCCTGCTAAAAGAAAGATGGGACCTGGACATGGGGAGCTCATCTTTTAGGCCAGAATGAGTCACTGTCATTTTAGTGTCATTTTAGACTATCTGTTTTTGTCCCATGATCAGAAAATCTGGCAGAACTTTAAGGGGGCTGGGACACAGGATGGGACATTACAGTGTGGCACAAAGCCACACAGTGTGGTCTCCGTGGTCACGGCCTGGGGTTCACAGCTTGCAGCTCACTCGTGCTTGCCCGGAGGCCTCCATCTGTAAGACGGGAGTACTGACCATTAGGGCTGTGGGGAGACTAAATGAATAGTGTGTGCGGTATGCATGGCGCACGAGTTCTCAAGGGATTTGGGCTGTTAGTAGTATGAGGGGATCCAGGGAGAGGCGCGTGTTGGGAGGAAGAGATTAGACCCTTAGCATTGGGGGTAGAGCAGAAGGAGGGTGCTGTAAACTGAATGTTCCTCCCAAATTCATATGTTGAAATCCTAACCCCCTAATGTGATGGTGTTTGGAGGTGGGGCCTTGGGGAGATGCTTAGGTCATGAGGGCAGAGCTGCCATTTATGGGATCAGTGCCCTTATCAAAGAGACCCCAGGGAGCTCCCTTGTCACGTGAGGTTAAAGCTAGAAGATGGCTGTTTCTGAACTAAGAAGCAGACCCTCAGCACAAACCGACTTGCTGGCCCTTTGGTCTTGGACTTCCAGTCTTTAGAGCTGTGAGATACGCATTTCTTTTGTTTATAAGCCACCCTGTCTGTGATATTCTGTTCTAGCAACCCACACAAACTTAGAAGGTGTCTAAGCACAGAGTCTGAGGTTGTGTGATATCAGGCAGTGTTTTCCAAAAGCCAGGCCGAGTATCTGGACCTGACTGCACTTAGTGTCACCCAGAAAGTTGGTCGAAAATGCATATTCCCAGTCCCAGCCCTAGATATTTGGGGTTTTAGTGGCTGAGATTCTGTAGTTTTACCCAGTGTCCCAAGATGATTCTTACAAATGGCTAGAACAGGAAATTGACTTTTGGAGTCAAAAAACAGCTTTGGAATCAGAACTTGGAGCCTGAAATTTCAGTTCTTAGCTCACCGTGGGTTGACCTTCTCTAAACCTGTTTCTTCATCTGTGAAGTGGGGAGAATCCCTGTCCTACCTCCCTTGCAGGGTTGTTTGAAGGCTCATATAAGACAGGGAATGGGAAAGAGCTTTGCAGACTACAGCACTGCACACGTATTTTTCATGTTAGGAGTGGGAAAGACAACCTCCACAGTTTCCAAGGCTTCCTGCTGCCTTCGACTCTCTCCACCAGGGTGCCACAGGTGCACACACATGAAACCTCAGAGCGTTTCTCCTGCACGCGGGAGGAGTGCCTTATCCGGTAAAATCAGAACGCTGTGAGGGCCTCTCACTCTCGCTGGTCCTTGGGCTGTCGGGTCATCTCAGGGAACTCAGGGTGGCTCCAGGAAGTTTCTTCAGAGGTGTATTTAATATATCTTCCGTTATTCATTGGTTGCAGTTAAAACTGCTTTATCCTTCCAAAAAGACACCATGGAAATCAATAGTGACGTTTAGGAAGGCAGCCTTGAGATGCCGGACTGGAAGGGCTTTAGGTCAACACATTAGCTCTCGAATCTAAGGGACAGGGGAAGCAGAGGTGGATCAGGCCCTGATCTCACCTTGAGGACCCTCGGTGTTCAAAATGGTGGTGAGCATTTCGGGAGTACCGCCCACGTGTCAGATGCTCTTCTGGGCTCCTGACGTGTCGTCTGATGTCAGTACTGCAAGGGAAGTATGAACCGGACCTCCACGTGAGAGAGGAACGACTAAGGCCCAGAGGAATTAAGTCAGAGTCCCACATCGAGGGGAGAAGCAGGGATTTGGACATTTGGACAGGGGCAGTCTGGCTCCAGAGCCCATGCTCTGTCTGGTTTGGTGGGGGAGGGAGACGTGACCGTGACTTAGCAATAAGCATGATGGGAGACTCATGCCTTTGTCACTCCTTGTCCCCAGGCCTGCTGCTGACGGCTTCCTGAGCTAGACAGTGGGGCTCTCATCTTGTGAAGGAAGGTAGCTCGGTGACTAGCTGCCCACCTTCACCCCCCTCCCTGGGTGCCGGGTAGCCCTTCAGTCTGATCCTTGCCCTCACTGTGGCGCTGCGGGTTCCTGCAAGAGATCAGAAGGAGAGAGACGCTACTTCTTGCTTGTTGTTTTTTTTTTTTTTTGATGTGGACCATTTTTTAAACTCTTTATGGAATTTGTCGCAATATTGCTTCTGTTTTATGTTTTGGTGTTTTGGCCACCAGGCACGTGGGATCTTAGCTCCCTGATCAGGGATCGAACCCGCACCCCCTGCATCGGAAGGTCGAGTCTTAACCACTGGACCGCCAGGAAGTCC